AGATGAGAGAGAGAGAGAGAGAGAGAGAGAGATAGGAGTGAGTGAGTGAGTGAGTGAGTGAGTGAGTGAGTGAGTGAGTGAGTGAGTGAGTTCCATCTTCTGAATCCATTTTCCAGCATGGGATATATTCTTCGAAATTTTGTACAGGGTGGACACATTCACAATCTTTAATATGTCAATATTATAGAAAACATAGTTGTTATAGTCCATCATCTTATATCCAGAAAGGCTCCTGAGATCAATTATACTCCCCCAAAGAATTTATCCTTCCTTCCTTCCTCCCTCTCTCTCCCTCTCCCTCTCCCTCTCTCTCTCTCTCTCTCTCTCTCTCTCTCTCTCTCTCTCTCATGCACACATTCACCTGGTATGGGCACATAGACGGCATCGGTGGCGGTAGAGCTTGCTTTAGCTCTACGCCATCGCGGAAGTGTGCAGCCCTGGGGAGTTCTCCTGTGTGGATGCACCTGACAGCAGCTGTTGCAACAGCTGCAGCAGAGCACACCCTGCCTTCAGGAGCCCGATACCCCAGCCAAATCAACAGCACTGGGCATTTCATTGAAGAATTTGGAAACCACCCTATGCTGGCTTTTCCTAATTTGTACGATCTCTGGCTTAAGTACAGGAGCAAATATTTATTAGTTGTTACAAAGGATCCAGGAATCTTTCTAGATAATCAGTTGATTATTAGGCCTATAATATTAGGATAAATTAGCATAATCTGGACTGACAAACCATCAGTTTATGGCTCTTCTATTATGCCCTTCACCTGCCACCCAATGTAATTAGTGAGATCACATTTTTTATATGAAGTATATACTTTGGTTGTATTTTGCCAAGAGATGGGTAATTACTTGCCGAGGAAGAATTTATTGTTTAGTTTAGACTTATGCATGGAATAAATCCTAATGAGAAAGACTACATTGATAATAAGAACATTATGGAGAAATTCCACCCTGGAATTGGACAGTAGATACTTATTTGATATGAATATTGTCCATGGTACTGTTTTGGTTGATAGCAGGAAGTATTCCAAATATGTGCATTTATCTGATGGATTTAGGGAGTTATTTCAAGCAGCTAAACATCTAAATTATATGATAATTTAAATCAGGATATTTTGCAATTCTAGTTCTAGTTGAATCTATGCTGATTTTCTTCTCCAGGTATTCCTTGTGCTATCCCACCTGTAATTGCCAATGGAATATATAACCCAAGTCCTTCAGATGAATACTACGTTGGCTTGACAGTAACATATTTATGTGATCGTGATTACTCCCTGATTGGAGATTCAACTATTCAATGTGAAGTTGCAGAAAATGGGGTAGATGGAATATGGAATATGCTTGCACCTGAATGTAAAAGTAATGGAATTTCATATTATTTTCTTACCTTCAGGATGTAAAATTGCTTTTTTTGTTGTTTTCTATTTAAGTAAATTAAGTTTGTTCTTGCTGGAATCCTGTCTTCTAAGCATTGGGCTGCTGTGGATTACCAAGTAGGAATTATCTTGTTGAAACTAAATCCCATAGGGGAGCATTGAAAGAAACACAAACATAGTTTGAATAATTTATATTGAATATTATTATTGTGTTTAGATTTGGCAATAACCCTCTTGAGCTGGATTGGCCTTATTGTGTTATTTGTTAGGATAATAATAAAAATAATTTATGTTTTGTTTCCTTCTAATACAACAAGATAAAACATTGGGAAATATCTTATAATGTAATAAGATTATTCCCAATGTAAAAAGAACCATTTACAGTAAGCATTGAAAACAAATCTTACTTCAAACTCAAATATTTAAAAAATAGTCAGATTTCACATTAATTACTTTAAAATTACTATACAATATTATAACTAACTTTAATGGTCTTAGGTTGCTTTAGGGTCTTGTAGAGCTTAATACCATCACTTAATATTATCACCAAAAGAGTATGAGGAATAAACAGGATGAATTAGAAATTCAAGTAAATGAGGACAGATATGATATTGTTGCCATTATGGAAACTTGGTAGGATAAAACACACAAATGGAACATACAGCTAATAGGATTTAAATTATTTTTTAAAAGTAGATAAAATAAAAGGGGAGGTGGAGTTGCACAATATATAAAAGAAATAATTACCGTATTTTTCAGAGTATAAGACACACCTTTTTTCCCCAAAAAAAGAGGGTGAAAATTTGGATGTGTCTTATATGCTGAATACAGAATTTTTGGCCTCCCAAAACCTCACGCCCTTTGCAAAAATGGTCATGTATAGCCTTTAGGGGGCTTCCAGAGTGTTTCTGGGGGCTGGGGAGGGCAAAAATGAGCAAAAAATGGTCCATTTTCTGTTCGTTTTTGCCCCCCCCCCTCGAGACACCAGAAGCACTCTATAAGCCTCCTAAAGGCTATGCATGATATTTTTTGACATAAAATGGGACCATTTTCACAAAAAGACCCTTTTTTCTCATTTTTGGGCCCCCACAGCCCCCAGGAGCACTCTACAAGCCTCCTAAATCAACATGCCCTTTTGCCTCCTATGCATGCCCATTTTCACGAAAAATGGGCCATTGTAAAGTACAAAAACTTTTTTTTAAAATTTGCTTCTTCAAATCTTGGTGCCTCTTATACTCCGGTGCGTCTTATACTCCGAAAAATACGGTACATCTCTACAGAAATAGAGCACAACAATGATGAGAACTATCTTGAATGCATTTGGGTCAATATTAAAGGTTGTGGGGAAAATGACATTGCCATAGGTCTATACTACAGGCCACCCAACCAAGCAGAGGAAATAGATGAACTTTTTGATAGTCAGCTAACTAAGGTATGTAGGAAGCACACCACAATAGTAGTGGGGGATTTTAATTACCCTGACATCAACTGGTACAGAAACTCTGCACTAACTGAAAGATCAAAAACGTTCCTGACAAACCTAGCAGACAACATTAACTCCCAAAATGTAGAGAAGGGAACTATCCCAGTGGAGTTAAAGAGAGAGAGATGTATAACTATAGTCTCAGATTATTAAAAAAGTGGCACAGAATATGGGTCTGCAATTTAAGGAGACCCTGACTCTAACCAGGCAATGGGGGATTCAGTCAAGATCCCGGGAGGTATTATTACCACTCTGTAAAGCTTTAGTAAGGCCACACCTAGAATCCTGCATCCAGTTTTGGTAATCAAACTGTAAAAATGATGATGAGACTCTAGAAAGAGTGAAGAGAAGTGTAACTAAGATGATTAGGGGGCTGGAGGCTAAAACATACAATGTACGGTTGCAGGAACTGGACCTGGCTAGTCTAGTGAAGAGAAGGATCATATTTAAGCAGCTGCACAGAGAGGAAGGGGTCAAGCTATTTTCCAAAAGACCTGAAGGCCAGACAAGGAGTAATGGATGGAAACTGACCAAGGAGAGATTCAGCCTGGAAATAAGGAGAAACATTCTGACAGTGAGAGCAATCAACCACTGGAACAGAAGTTGCCTTCAGAAGTAGTGGGAGCTTCATCACTGGAAACTTTCAAGAAGAGGTTCGACTACCACCTGTCAG